ATTATTATATATCTGGTTGTTAATCGCATCAGTATGCTATATTCATCACCTTGAATAGTTTACTAACTTCTCACATTAGTCTTAGTTCATTACTTTCTTCCTTAAAGTATGATTGAATGTGCAACTTTTTAATACATTAATATTAAAGGAGGTTTAAATCATGAAAATTTGACCACGGAGATGAATTAAATGAAAGTAATTTCTAACCAACATATATTAAGATCTCTATCTAATAATCACCACTTCATTTTAAACTTCATATTGTATCAATTAAACTAATCTTGCTAAGTTAACTACACACTAAATGCTAAAGACATAATGTATAAGTCATACTTTGACTACGTCAATAACTTGGTTTTACCCAAGCTCCTTTCCAAAGCTACTCTAAGATGTCTAACAACTCTGAGTACATATTTTATGTGCCAATATGCAAATGGTATTACAATATTAGATGACCTATGTGACAACCCGAAATTTCTTTCTCGTACAAGAGACCAATTGAATCCAAGTTAGACTCATTTTGTTAGCTTTTAACACCGTTTGGGGTCTATTGGAGCGTTCTAAACATAATACAAATGAGGTAGGAACCGAGAAACAGGATAACACAATGCGTATCAAGTAAAATCGGGCCAAGCACTCCAAAACATGGAGTGTGCGGCCACACACTTGAGTGTATGGCCACACACCCATTTCCATCCACACACTCACCTCTATATATAGGGGAGGACCCCCTTCATTCATTATTTCCTTCTTTGGCTGCAATCTACTTCTCTCTCTACTTTCTCTCTCTAAAAATATCATCCAAAGAACACTCTAAGGGCCTCAAGAACGTGAATCACCCCCATCAATCAACTTGTTTATGGTAAAACATCTGAATCTAAGCTTAAAACTCATAGTGTTCTTAGTGTTCTTCATCCTTTGAAGGAGTGCGGCCGCACACCTTCATATGGTGGCAGCACACACCTTAAAAACTCTCCAAAGTGAAGAGTTTGGCCTTCTTTTACTCATAAGACTTAAGAACACCTCTAAAATCAACGTTTTGGGCACAAATTAGGAGTGTACGGCCGCACACACCCATTGTACGGCTGCACACTCATGTGTGTAACCGCACACACGCATTTGTTGTACATTTTGACCATACACTCCCTTGTGTAGTCATATACCACTCATATGCAACCTTATATGGTTGTAACACTTCATAATAAGTGTTTACTAGTCCCTGAAGAGGTCCCACTAGAATAAATAGTTATTCCAAGAACTAATTACACACATATATATGTCATTATATGGTTAATAGGATCCGTTTGTGCTTAAGTCCGCAATTAACACTCAACCTCCTAAACTGATCCTACCGTCGCATCACTCACTACAGGTGAGTTCATACCCCTTAATCAACCTTTTAAATGTTTTTATACGTTTTATGGGGGGGGGGGGATACAAGTTGAACCAAACAAGCTATAGTACTAATCATATCTGATTTACAACTTGTTATCAAAAGGATTTTCTATATTTTCAAATTACCATGCCAGTAAAGTTGTTTTAAACGTTTATCAAACTTATTTTCATGTTTAGTTGTTCTAAAAACTATTTTCCAACACTTTCAAAAATTATTTTTGTTTTCAAATCATATCTACACTAATATATTTATATAAGTAAGGATTGAATGACTTAGAACTAATAGCTCACCTTATTTCCTGTTCTTGTTTGATTGTGGACTTAGGGTATTCTGTTATCTGTCCGACAGTCGTTGAATTCTTAGTTATATATCATGTATATTTGTGTTGGATATAAAAGTTTTCGCTTCATTTCAACACCTTTGTGTATCAAAGGCATTCAACTAACATCTCTATTTAACTATAATAGGTATAGTTAAAGGTTTCCACTCATTACTATTGCTACTATGATACTCACTATGGGCAGTACAGTTACGAGTCTATACGTACTATACACTATAAGAAGAGAGCACTATACACTATACGAAGAGAATACTATACACTATACGAAGAGAATACTATACATTATACAAAGAGAACACTATATACTACACAAAGAGAACACTATATACTACATGAAGAGAATACTATATACTATATGAGAGAATATACTAAAATAGAATGTGAAGCACTACTTCTCGATACGACACTTCGCTATGCGATCGTCGTGCAACCAGGGCCTCCTGGAGGGAGAGCGAACACTATGTGTATAGATCTATACGGGACGGACACTCCCACATCCCGACTGCTAGCTACAGTCCGAGCCGATTAGGCCCAGGGATGAGAAAACATCACTACGCTACACATGACCTGGAGGGTCAACTGTTATACTACTGTCACTCAGCATGGTTACATACGAGTTTCATATTCAAACCTTAACTAACATATTAAGAATTAAAGGTAAAACAAACTTCCCGAGGTGTATACACATTTAATACTACCTAGAGTTTACATCTCTACTACATATAGCCGACAGTGACACTGCTGGGGTAAAACTCTATTCTTCCAATTTCCTTATATAAACGAAATTTAAAACTATATTTTCACACTGACATTTTCACTGGGAAAACTCTTACATTTTCAAAGAATCAAACTTACAAATATCCGAGTCTTGGTAAAAGACTACCTTTGTTGGAAAATATAGGATTTTCTAGGGTTCACACTATTTTCAAAACTTGATAACAATTATTGTATTACTTGGTCTCAAACACTTTTTATGCAAATAATGACACTAAATACTTATGAACTCACCAGTTTTATGTTGATACTTGTTTTCAAAATAACTTGTATTCTCAGGTCATCAGTAGGCAAGTACAAATGCAACTTTTGAGAAGATGGAGTATATATATATATATATATATATATATATATATATATATATATATATATATATATATATATATATATATATATACAAGACTCATCTTTTATTTTGATCATACATTTGGTGTCTATCTGTACAAAACACGCTCGTATTACAATTATTATGCTAATGCAATGGATGTTGTTGCTTGTCCTCATTATTATGCATTGTTATGATACTGTACATAACGTCCTCCACCCCAGAACGTATCCGCTGTTCTCGATTTTGGGGTGTGACAACCTCTTTCATCCACATAGTATTTATCGTAGCTTCACTAGCTCCAACATTTTCAAACTCAACTATTGAATTTAGCTACAATATCTAACTTGGTTCTCCTTCATTTACATACTACTTACTGTAGCTTCAATAGCTACAACATATTCAAACTTAGTTGATGAATTTAGATACAATATTTAACTTGGTATTCTTTGAAGTTATTGTTACTTTGTTTTGTAAGATCACGAGTATTGAATGTGGAAATTAATCGTTTCAATTAATTTGGAAATTTTTAGTAACTATTTCATTGATCTTTTCCTCAAGAATCAATATCATCTTCCAACACTTGAGATTATTCTTGATTACTTTTGATTTTTGGCTTTTTCAAAATAACTTTGATATCAACTTGTCATGCTCGTATCATATGAGATATCATACGAAATAAATGTTGATTTATATAGAAAAAATGTAACAAATTCCCATATTTATATATTATATAATTTAATTATCCTATATTTTTAAAATAGCGGCCAATGTATTCATACCATAAAAACAACAATAGTTGGTATTTGAAAAGATATCTTTGTCGAAATTGAAAAGTAAACAGATGATTAGTTTTTTAAGAGTATACGGTGTGGGTCGCAACGAGAAACGAATTTGTTGAGTTTGCACACGAAAACGACGTCACGATGCGGGGAACACCGCCCCCAACTCGTTGAAGCTCGTTATGTTGGATGTTGTGGTAACGATGACGAGATAAAACAAGAAAGATGATTGACTATCTCATTCATCAACCAATCAAATAATTTTCTCTATTTTCTCTCTCTACCTCTTAACATGATATAATATGTGGAACACCATTTCCCCCTTGGTGTTATGGTGGTGTTATGGATGAGGAGACATCAATTTGGTGTTACATCCCGTTGCCCACACCCAATGCTCTAAGTCGATTAATTATAACAGTAAAGGTAAGATTAAATAAAAAAAATTACACAATTTTATTTATATACAACTCATCGGATAGATGTCATTAAAATAATATAGTTCGATATAAATATTTATATCCAACCACTAGGTTTGAAACTCATATATTACATGGTTAATTAAAAAATTTAAATATCAAAATGTAAATATTAAAATTAAATTTTAAAATAAGAAAGGAAAAAATATATTTATTACAATTTATGATCATATTTATTTCATTTAATACTTTAATTATATAACGATGTGTATTATATATGTGATTTTTTAATTTTAAAAATTAAAATAACCTAAAAATTGACATGTAGATATTATTTATTTAAAAAATATCATAAACTGACAAGTATCAAAACTTATGAGAGATTGACATGTGACAAAATCGAATTTCATTTAGTAGATAAAATACTATTTTGAATTTATTTTAATTATTACATTCAATAATTATAAGATAAGTCTTTGATTTCTTACATTCAATAATTATATGATAAGTTTTGAATTTTATTAGAAACACATTTTATTTTTAAAATCAACTCTTTTTGTCCCAAACAAATCTGAACTATCAACCTTTAGCGTATCCATCCATTAATTTTTTATACCAAAATCCCTTTAATAATTTGTGAATTGTGATCAACATACTTTGGGTTAGTGGCAGTGGTTAAAAAAAGCTATCATTGAAAATCGATACAAGTATCGGCTGGTTTCGTTCTCTCATTTTAACGATAAAGATAAGAACACACCGACACATGTCCAAGTTGGAGAGGTCACGTGCCAAAGACAATGGTGGCCAGCTAGAAAGTTAAAAAAACAATATTAAAAAATGTTGACGATAAGGTCCATAACAAAGGGTGAAATCACCATTGATCGTTCTTTTTCGAGCAACGATTTCATCTATATTCCTATCAAATCGTACACATCTGTAGTGCTCCCATTTTACCTCTGAGTAAGCAATGGCTGAAATAGTTGTCTCTGCCTTCTTATCGGTGTTCTTTGAAAAGCTGGCCTCTGAAGCCTGGAAGAAGATTGCTCGTGCCAAGGGAATTGATTCCGAGCTCAAGAAACTGAAGAGGTCATTAATCCAGATCAATGCTTTGCTTAATGATGCTTCTCAAAAGGAAATAACTGATGAAGCTGTTAAACAGTGGCTGAATGATCTCCAACATGTAGCTTACGACATAGACGATGTTCTTGACGATTTGGCAACCGAAGCTATGCATCGTGAGTTGACCGAAGAATCTCAAGCCACCACAAGCAAGATAAGAAAACTAATCCCAACTTGCTGCACGAATTTCTCAGTAAGTACTAGGATGCGTGGCAAGTTAGATAATATTACCACCAAGTTACAAGAACTGATAGAGGAAAAAAACAATCTTGGTTTAACTGTGAAAGGTGAAATCCCGACGCATATGAATAGAAAATTACAAACCTCTTTGGTAGATGCATCTAGTATTGTTGGACGAGAGAGTGAAAAAGATGAATTGCTCCACAAGCTATTGAGTGATGAACCATGTGATAGAAACTTCAGCATCGTGCCCATAGTTGGTATGGGTGGGGTAGGTAAGACCACTCTAGCAAGACTTTTGTATGACGAATTTCAAGGGAAGGATCACTTCGAACTCAAGGCGTGGGTTTGTGTTTCTGATGAGTTTGATATCTTCGGTATAAGCAAAACCATTTTCGAATCGATAGAGGGGGGAAACCAAGAGTTTAAGGATTTAAATCTGCTTCAGGTGGCTTTAAAGGAGAAAATCTCAAAGAAACGATTTCTTGTTGTTCTTGATGATGTATGGAGCGAGAGCTATACTGATTGGGAAATTCTAGAACGTCCATTTCTAGCAGGAGCACCGGGAAGTAAAGTAATCATCACAACCCGCAAGCTGTCGTTGCTAAACCAATTGGGTCATGATCAACCATACCAATTGTCTGATTTGTCACATGACAATGCTCTATCCTTATTTTGTCAACATGCATTGGGTGAAAATAGCTTTGATTCACATCCGATACTTAAACCACATGGTGAAGGTATTGTCGAAAAATGTGATGGTTTGCCATTGGCTTTGATTGCACTTGGGAGGTTATTGAGGACAAAAAGAGATGAGGAAGAATGGAAGGAACTATTGAATAGTGAGATATGGAGGTTAGGAAAGAGAGATGAGATTATTCCCGCTCTTAGATTGAGCTATAATGATCTTTCTGCCTCTTTGAAGCAGTTGTTTGCATATTGCTCCTTGTTCCCCAAAGACTATGTGTTCAACAAGGAGAAGTTGATTTTATTATGGATGGCAGAAGGGTTTTTGCACAATGAAAATACAAACAAGTCAATGGAACGCTTAGGTCTTGAATATTTTGACGACTTGTTGTCAAGGTCATTTTTTCAACATGCACTCGATGACAAATTGTTGTTTGTGGTGCACGACCTCATGAATGACTTGGCCACGTCTGTTGCTGGAGATTATTTTTTAAGATTAGACATTGAAATGAAAAAGGAAGCTTTGGAAAAATACCGACATATGTCATTTGTTTGTGAGAGTTACATGGTTTACAAAAGGTTCGAACCATTTAAAGGAGCTAAAAAATTGAGAACTTTCTTAGCAATGCCTGTTGGGATGATAAAAAGTTGGACAACATTTTACTTATCAAATAAGGTCCTTGATGACTTACTTCACGAATTACCATTGTTGAGAGTTCTAAGTTTGAGTCATCTTAGCATCAAGGAGGTTCCTGAAATAATAGGCAGTTTGAAACACTTGCGGTATCTTAATTTATCTCACACGAGTATCACACATTTACCAGAAAATGTCTGCAATCTTTACAACTTACAAACATTGATCCTTTGTGGCTGTTGTTTTATAACCAAGTTTCCCAACAACTTCTTAAAGCTTAGAAATTTACGGCATTTGGACATTAGCGATACTCCCGGTTTGAAGAAGATGTCCTCGGGGATTGGTGAATTGAAGAACCTACACACTCTCTCCAAGATCATTATTGGAGGTGAAAATAGACTAAACGAGCTTAAGAACTTACAAAATCTCCATGGGAAAATTTCCGTTTGGGGGTTGGGCGATGTGCAAAATGCAATGGAGGCACGTGAGGCGAATTTATCACAAAAGAAACTTAGCGAGTTACAGTTGGATTGGGGTTATGGGGATTATGAGTTGAATGTTTCTCGAAAGCAAACCCATGATAAGGAGGTCCTTAATGAGCTGAAGCCTGATAACGATAGTTTGAAAAAGCTTGAAATTTTGTCATATGGAGGTACAGAGTTTCCAAATTGGGTTGGGAGTCCCTCGTTTCTTATGCTAACTCATGTGTCCATATATTTCTGTGAAGAATGTACATATCTACCAAGTCTTGGGAAGTTACCATCACTTAAGGAGCTGTTTATTCTTGGCATGAGCAAGGTGAAAGTTATTGATTGGGAGTTACTTGGAACTGGAGTTGCATTCCCATCACTTGAAATTCTAAGTTTTGGTCATATGTCAGGGTGGGAGGTATGGTCAACCGAGAATAGTGGGGTTGTAGACACAGCATTTCCATGTCTTCAAGAACTTCATATCGAATTTTGTCCTAATTTAGTTCAAGTCTCACTTGAAGCCCTACCTTCACTTAGAGTTTTAGAAATAAAAGGATGTGGTCATGGTGTGTTGACAACTCTGGTTCATGTAGCTTCTTCAGTCACCATGTTGGAAATAGGTAATATTTCAGGGCTTAATGATGAACTGTGGAGAAGTGCTTTCAAGTATCTTGGGAAACTTGAAAAGTTATACATTCGTGGGTGTAATGAAATAAGATATTTGTGGCAATCAGAAGTAGAGGCAAGTAAGTCTCTAGTGAATTTAAGGAATTTGAATGTGAGTGATTGTTCAAATCTGGTGGGTTTAGGAGAGAAAGTGGAGGATTACTGTGGAAGCATCCAGACGTTTATTAGGATGTTGTCTATAGCACGTTGTGAGAGTATTGAGCATTGCAGTTGTCCTAATAGCATTGAGTTTCTGAATATCCGTAGTTGTGATTCAATTACATCAGTCTCTTTCCCAAAAGGAGGAGGGAAGAAGCTCAAGTCATTTGCCATTGGAGGTTGTCAGAAGTTTTTGGAAGAGGAGCTTGGAGGAGAAAAGAGTAGGTTGCTTATCAACTCAAACATGAAAATGCTTGAATCTGTAGATATAGATGGTTGGGTAAATCTGAAATCTATCATTGAATTGACTTACTGTATTCACCTCACCACATTGATGATAACAAAGTGTCCAAAAATGGAGTCTTTTCCTGACCATGAGTTACCCAATCTCACCTCTTTAACAATTCTGGTAATAACAAAGTGTCCAAGTATTGATGCCTCCTTTCCTCGTGGGCTTTGGCCTCCCAAATTGAGTTACCTTGGAATAGGAGGGTTGAAGAAGCACATCTCAGAGTGGGGCCCACAGAATTTCCCAACCTCACTCGAGAACTTAATGTTAAATGGCGGAATATATGATGATGTGAAAAACTTTGATCAATTGTCGCATCTTTTTCCTTCATCTCTTGCTTCTCTTTCGATAACGGGATTTCAGAAACTGGAATCAGTTTCAATGGGACTCCAAAACCTCACCTTTCTCCAACGTCTCTCTGTTTCCAAGTGCCCGAAGATGTTACATCTACCAGAAAAGTTGTTTCCTTCGCTTTTGTCTTTGAGAATCGATGGATGCCCAAATTTGAATGAAAGGAGCATTAGAAGAAGCTCCTATTGGCCCCTCATCTCCCTTATCCCTCTCTCCACTTTTGACGAGTAATTACAAGTCTCTATGTTTTTGACTTCTTCTAGTTTCAATATGTATATATGAAATAATTGATTTTCCTCATCCAAACGAAAAAATATTAAATATTTTCTCGATTAGGGTTTGTGAATATGGAATCGTCACGCTCGATTGCAAAATGAATTAAAATGATTCACCGCCCATTTGACCAACGATTAATACTAATTAGGATTTGAAAATACCAATTGATATGTGACCCATTTAACCCACGATTAATACTAATTAGGATTTGAATATGATTAGGGTTTGTGAATATGGAATAGTCGCCCTTTGAAAATCCCAAATGATATGTGACCCATTTGACCCCCGATTAATACTAATTAGGGGTTGTTTCGTTTTAATTTTATGGACTTAGTAGGCTTATATTTGCAGGCATTGGGACCCACAGCCCCATCATCGTTTTTTCCCACCTTTCTCAGTTTTCAGTCAGGAATGCAACATTTTACGCATATGCCGTTTGGTTATGTCATATGCTTAAGCAATAAAAAATCGAACATTGATTATTTGTGAAAGAAAAAGTTTGTGTTATTGCTTTTGTGTAGAAGGTCGGTTTCTATCATACTATTTGTTGATTGACAAATCCATATGCTATTTGATGAAAAGTGGTTTACGAAGCTGACTTCATCTTCTACATGTTCTGAATCTATTAAAACTCTAATCTTGGTGTATAGGTGAAATACCACTTATGCCTTGAAGCTTGAAAAAACCAAAGGATAGGGACCAAATTTTGACTCCTGTTAAATTGAACAAAGATGGAGAGCTAGTCTAAAGATCATCTGTAGAAATTAACTATAGAACTTCAACAGATGGGAATGCTGATGAGGCAAGATGCTCATGTACTCTGATTGTTTGTATACATAATTGTCCATGATATCTTGTTCAGGGCTGTAAACAAGTATTAATTAGGTTTTCAGGAGAGATGAAAATATTCTATGTTGGTTGTGAGATTGCTGATATGGTTGGGCGAATAACAAAGTGTCGAAGTATGAAGAAATTTCCTGACCATGGGTTGCTGATCACTCTCACCTAGTTGACACATATTATAGATAGAAAATTGTAAAATTATAAGTGCTTCTGAGGCATAGAATTAGGATAAATTTGTATTGTTCTGTTTCTGAATTAGGAATCCATATACGAATGGATGAGAACCTGATGTATTTTTAAAATGAATACACAAAAACTTTCAACCTAATCCAAATTTTCTGTTCATGAATTCTACATATGAAGATGTAGAAATTTGGAATTCATGAATCCAGATAGCTATTATACCATATAAACTCCTAACTCGAGAGTAAGTAGAAGATCTCCTAACTATCTTTGACTGGTAACTAACACATCATCTCTTAACTAACACAAATCACATGGATTGCCAACATGACATGTATACATACTTGGTGTCCAATATAACAACAAATGATTATTTCCCATTTTTGTGTGCCATGAACTGCTCAAATCGTGCTCCTAATGGTCTTTCTCTGCTTGGTCAAATATCTTTATTCAATAAAAAAAGCATAGCTTACTAACAATTTAATTAAACAACACTACCTGCAACACCTTTAACATTGAATAGCAAACTCTTTTCTCCAAATTTGAGACAACACGTTTTACTTCACAAGTTTTTTGCTCTGCTTGTAGTGCTACTTGCATATTTTTAGTATCTACAATACAAAAGACAAAAAAAAAAAAAAAAATCCATGTCTTAAATATTTATAAATTCACGACCAACGGGAAACTATAATTAAGAGCATCATGCAATTGTTACAAATCTAAATGAAACCAAAAAAAAGACCATATGTTTATGGACTCTTTAACCTTTAGCTCATTAGGGTTTGGCTATTAGCTAGGATTTATTTTGCCTTTTCTTGTTTCTAGCTTTTCAGTTTTTCTATCAAGAACACTTAATTTTCTCTCTTTCAATAAGAATATAGCTCTATTATCAAATATTACATTAAAGATCAAGAAGAATTCAAAAATTGTAACTATTTTTAAATGTATATTATTTACCTATGAACTCATAACAGTTTAACAAGGATATTTCTTTCACCAATAGTTATTCTCTTTACAATAGAGCAAGTATATGTAGCATGGTATTTATAAGTATGCCGAAGCTTTCACTTATGTGTTCTATTGCTCAAATGGAACATCGATAGAGCTACTTTATTCCTCTTTAAATTGAATACCGACTCACTTTGAATATCAGTTGATCCAATTCGTGAATTTAATTCATGGACTTATAAGTGAAAATACTATGTCAAAAACATAATCACGTTATTTGAATTTTATAGAAAAATCTAGAAGAATGGATGAGATCATATGTCAGATGCAGTCAAGAAGTTCAATGGATATAAATTGAAAATTAATTCGAAAAATTTGATGTATTATAAAGAAATATAAGGGCAACTTGGTGATTGTCAACTTATTCCTCCTTTAATGGCCTAATTATGAAAAATCCAGTGGAATAAAAATCAATTATGCATTAATAAACCATCTGATCAAACTTTCATGCAATTTTCACACACATCTGTTTGAACATACTTATGCCCATTTGAAGAAAATATGTATAAAATATGATCAAAATGTCGAAAAACAGTCTCAAAGTGTGTTTCATTTTTGCTAGGATTAATATCAAGGATTAAAAGAATATATGAATGTTAATTTTTAAAAATCCATAGAAAATACCAAAAAATATTTTGGATTTTCAAGACTCAAAATCCATAGAAACTGTTAGTGAAGGTCGTCCAGTGTTTTTTTGTAGGTTCTTGAAGTGTGTGATTGGATGAGAACATCCTTTGGGAAGCAACAAAGGAGACGAACACGTTGTAGAGGGATGATTTCCATTTGGCTCCAAAAAAAAGCCAGGAGCTGAAGAATGTAGCCGACTCATATATAAGCCGTCATGTTTTTAAGTATATGTATAATATAATGTTATATGTTTTTCCTTCCTTTTATAAATACAGCTAAACCCAAATACATTAATTATTTGCTTTTTAACAATATTTTTAAAAAATATCTAACAAACATATTTATATTTATATAAAAAGAAGTACTAATAGAAATGCTCAGCCAAAATCGGATCCACCACTATTGGACGTATATAGGATGGTCTATCAGCTGTAATATAATGCTAAGAAAAAATATGATTAAAGGTTTAAATCCAAAATCCATTATTCCACCGGCGATATGATGCACTAGCTGTAATATGCAAAAACAGTATTATAAATGCTAACCAAAACAGCAGCTAAGAAACAATATAAATAATGGTTTGAATCGTCCTTTCTCCATACACTCATTTCTTCCAAATCCCTATCATTCATACATACAAGTGCTCCCATATTAGGTTTTCACTATAAGCAATGGCTGAAATCCTTGGTTCTGCGTTCTTTGCGGTGTTCTTTGAAAAGCTTGCTTCTGAAGCCTTGAAGAGGGTTGCTTGCTCCAAAGTAATTGACAAGGAGCTCGAGAAATTGAATAGCTCATGAATCAATATAAAAGCTCTGCTCAATGATGCTTCTCAGAAGGAAATAAGTAAGGAAGCTGTTAAAGAATGGTTGAATGCTCTTCAACATTTGCCTTACGACATAGACGACCTACTTGACGATTTGGCAACCAAAGCTATCCATCGTAAGTTCTCTGAGGAATACGGGGCCACCATCAACAAGGTACGAAAGTTAATTCCATCTTGTTTCTCTAGTTTTTCAAGTACTAAGATGCGCAACAAGATACATAATATTACCAGCAAGATACAAGAACTATTAGAAGAGAGAAATAATCTTGGATTATGTGAAATTGGTGAAAGCCAAAAACTTCGAAATAGAAAATTAGAGACCTCTTTGCTAGATCCATCTAGTATTGTTGGACGCACAGATGATAAGGAAGCGTTGCTTCTCAAGCTATATGAACCATGTGATAGAAACTTTAGCATCTTGCCAATAGTTGGTATGGGTGGGTTAGATAAGACCACTTTAGGTAGACTTTTGTATGATTAAATGCAAGGGAAGGATCATTTCGAACCCATGGCTTGGGTTTGCATTTCTGATGAGTTTGATATCATGAATATTAGCAAAACTATCTTCCAATCTCTAGGTGGGGCAAATCAAGAATTTAATTATTTAAATTTGCTTCAAGTAGCTCTAAAAGAGAGGATCTCGAAGAAACGGTTTCTGTTTGCTTTAGATGATGTGTGGAGTGACATCTATACCAATTGGGAAATCCTAGCAGGCCCATTTCTTGCAGGGGCACCCGGAAGAAAAGTTATCATGACAACCTGGAAGCTGTCGTTGCTAACCCAACTTGGTTACAATGAACCTCATCATTTGCCTATTTTATCTTATGAAAGTGCTCTATCCTTATTTTGTCAACATGCATTGGGAGAATCAAAAAACAACTTTGATTCACATATGGTACTTAACCATATGGCGAAGGTATTGTCAGAAAATGTAATGGCTTTTCATTGGCTTTGAAAGCACTTGGGAGGTTATTATGGACAAAAATACATAAGGAAGACTGGAAAGTTGTGTTGAATAGTGAGATATGGAGCCTAGAAAAGGGAGATGGGGTTGTTGTGGCTCTCAGATTAAGCTACCATGATCTTTCTCCATGTTTGAAGCAGTTGTTTGCATATTGCTCCTTGTTCCCCAAGGACTTTGAGTTTGACAAGGAGAAGTTGATTCTCTTGTGGATGTCCGAAGGTTTTTTTCACCAATCAAATGCAAGCCAGACAATGGAACGCTTGGGTCACGAATATTTTGATCAGTTGTTGTCAAGGTCATTTTTTCAAAATGCTCCTAATAACAAATCATTGTTTGTAATGCATGACCTCTTAAATGACTTCGCTACATCTGTTGCTTGTGATTTTTTTTTTTCAAGATTAGACATTGAGAAAAAGAAAGAATTTAGGACGGAATCCTTGGAAAGGTACCACAATATATCATTTGTTCGTGAGGAATACATGGTTTCCGGAAGGTTTTAGCCACTCAAAGGAGCTAAAAGTGTGAGGACATTCTTAGCCTTATTTGTCGGGGTGATAAAAAGTTGGCAAACATTCTACTTCTCAAATAAGGTCCTGGAGAACTTACTTCAGGAGCTGTCATTGTTAAGGGTCCTAAGCTTGAGTAATATTAGCATAAGTGAGGTACCCGAATACATTGGCAGTTTGAAGCACTTGTGGTATCTGAATTTATCTCGAACTAATATCGAGCAGTTACCAGAAAATATATGCAAGCTTTATAATCTCCACGCACTGAACGAAGCCAAACTGATCTAAATTAATAACCAGGGATAAACCCAAAACATAGGCCCAACGATGGCCCAATCTAACCCAACCCACTAATGGCCTAAACCATTTGGGCCTACTAAAGCCCAACCGACGTTGGGCCCGCTAAGACCCAACCCAAACTCCTTAGGCCCAAACTGGGCTATCCAACTAGATAAGTTTGAACATGGCTCAAAACAGAAGGTCCAACCCCAAAATCAAGTCCAAAACAAAAAGCCCAAACAGTCCACTGATGACCCGAACGCGCGGTGTTCCCAAGACGAACGCACGACATTCCCGGTTAATGTCCAAAAATTGCACCAACGACTTAATAGCTTAAGTACAACGTCCAAATGTTTAAAATAGCTTCATATTATTGACTTAACCCATAAAGTTGTCAACTTGGCACCTTTGCATGGTCCAAAAGGACCCAATCATGATTTCAAGCATTCTAACTCCATAAAGAGGCCAAGATGCAAACGTTTACCTTAAGACCTTAGTCCAACCTTCCAGATTCAAAGGGACTTCTTAAGTCGTAAAGTTCTTGACATTATGACTTAGCAAGACTTAATGGGACCCAAATCAAAACCCTAAGTCCCAAACTTTACCAAAAGACCACCAAAACATGCATGAAAGGTTTATACTCATCAAGATCCAAACTTTAAGACTTCATAACCCCAACAAGGACCAAATATGAAGATCAAAGGTTCTGGAGTAACTTCTACTCACAAGAACCACCATAAAGGGACCAAAACATAACCAAAATCAACTAGCTAGATCTACATGAAAGAGTTGTCAAGGCTGAGACTTTATACCTCCATAAGTTAGATCTAGGTGAGCAAAGCCTGGATCCAAAAGCTCTAAATCAAGCATTGAATCTTCAAGAAGTTCCTTCTTTCTTTTCAAGCACCAAAACACACAAAAATCACCATGAAGC